GTCTGCCGTGGCGTGGCCGCCTTGCCGGCTGCTGTGAGCTGCTCGGGCGGGAGCTGCCCTGCAAGGAAGCGATCTGGAAACGTCTGAGAAAGAGACGTTTACGGGAATAATTCATACTTCCGTTGGGCAAACTGGTCGTGCCACGGGTGGGTGTTGTAAACCTAATGTTTTTAATTAGGTTCTCCCCTCGCCATGCACGGGGCAAGCGCGGAGCTACTACGTGGACTGGAGGATGCTGCGGGACGTCAAGAGGAGGAAGCTGGCGTACGAGTACGCGGACGAGAGGCTGCGGATCAACGCCATCCGGAAGAACGCCATCCTGCCCAAGGAGCTCCAGGTACCGGGCAGCGGCCTCGCCACCGGGGCTCGGCACGAGCCCACGCACTGGGCCGCAGCGGCCGCCCTGCAGACCCAAGCGGCCCTGCTGGGTCACGGACGCTCGCGTTTCCTTAACTCACGAGCACAGAATCCCGTCGTATCGCATGGTGACCGCTGGCACCCAGGCGTCATCGGAGCCTCTGCCTTCTGCGGGTGTTTACAACCACAGCGTATTCTCCTGACTGGAGGTTGTGTGTGTTGCGATTTGGGTTTTGTTGGGGTTTTTTTTTTTTTTTTTTTTAAACCAGTGCTGCTGATGTAAGCAGTATATGTAACACTACATACGATGAAGTCTCATTTTTTTTCCCTCACAGCTGTCACTGACATACATTCAGAAAGCTGTTTTCCTTATTTCTGATAATATGGTTACTTTTATCGTTTCCTAAATAAACTTTACTTTTTTTTTGCTTATTTAAAAACCTGGAAGCCTGATCCAGCCAAACCCACCAATTTGTTCAATTAGAAATACTTAATTTTACTCCTTGCCTGAGCTACAAGCGTGTAAAAGCTGCATCAGATCTGGGTGTTAGATCTGTTCTTAAAAATGCACATATTCACTGCCCTGCTCTCAGCTTTCCTTGTTAAGCATTACAACTATTTGCAAGTATCAAAAATATTCCTACAGTATTCCTACATGTGTTTGATCTGGCCATGCCTAGTTGTGGGGAGATCCTTTCAGCCTTAAACATTCTGGGAGAGAAAGTGTCTGGCTTTATGTATAGACTTTACCATTCTCTTGGCAAGTCTCAACTGCGTTGGATGTCCTTACAGGGGAAAAAAAAAATGAATTGCAACTGGCTTTGCTTTTGGTATTCCTCAGCTGCTTTTGTCACCTTTTGAAGTCACAAAGTCATAGCAGCAGTTAGATTGAAGAAAAAGACTCCAGGAAAGTAACTTTTTGCTCCCCTACAAAATGTTACTTGGTCTCCAAAATTAAAGTCTTAAAAATTAAGCTACAAGTCTTCTCTGAAAGTATAGGCTGCTTTCTGAATAAAATCGTAGGAATTAAATAGGCCAGAAAAAATACTGCAAGTGTTTAGCTGTACTAGATAGTGTATATATACGGCTATATATGCCAATAAGAGGCACAAATGGACAAAACCAGTAACTGAAGTGTGTTCTGAAGATAAGAAGTCCTACTGACCTTGCTGTTACTGAAGTTGAAAGTCCCATTGCTGCTGTCTTGATGCCGTCCTCCTTTGAAAGCAAACATCCCTTTAGAAGACAGCCTTACACTGTTGCTTTTCAGCACTCCTGCAACATAGTGGGAGTTTTTGTAGTCCAGCCTCAGACCTTCCCTTTACTTCCAACTGTGACTTGCTATCATGACTGAACACAGGATTCTTTTCAGCCCTTCTGTCCTTTAGAAAATAATACATTACAAATGCTGCAGTTAGGGACGCTTGCCTAGCCTCGAGCGACTTCCTTTAGGCTGCATTTCCCTGCTGAGCTCACTTCTTGTTCTTCTGAAATTCCATTTGCTGCTACCTGGTGCTTCCCGAAAACTGTTGAGCTCTCTTGTTGTAGTACATGGAAGGGCCTTTCTTAAGCCTTCTCATTAGAACAGAGACACTTTGACTTGCCTTCCTCTGCCTGTAGCTCCTTCCAAAGTATATGAGATTCCTTTTACTGACATCAAAGCATTTTACTTGGGAATGCAGTTAATAAGGGACATATATATATAAGTTCAGCTTATCTTAAAGGACTAGCCCACCCTGCAACATGGACAAAGCCAAGCAGATTTTGACTAACGATAATTACTGGCATGAGGTTGTTCAGTCTGTGTAATAAGGTTAACTTTGGGGTCTCCATGTGGATCATTTTACATTCACTGTCAGGATGCCCAGAAGGAAAGGGTCGAGTGAGGAAGACAGGTGCAAGTTCCCTATCAAATAGCGAAGCATACTCGTGAGGTGGTAGAGAAGCTTGTGGTGGTACCAGCTCTACAGCTAGATTTTGAGGTCTGGCAATAAGCCCCCTCAAAATCCTGGGGAACATAGACAAACTCTATGCTGTGGTCTTCTGTTTTAGGAAGTGGCTGATAAAGAGATTGCTGACTTGCCCCGGGACAGCTGCCCTGTGAGGATCCGGAATAGGTGCGTCCTGACATCCCGCCCTCGGGGGGTGAAACGACGTTGGAGGCTCAGCAGAATTGTTTTCCGACATTTTGCTGACCATGCTCAGATGTCTGGGATACAGAGGGCTATGTGGTAGATCACCACGTGGATATACATTCAGGCAGAAAACACAAAACAGGCTGTTTGTGTGTTTTGAGTAATTAAAGCAAGACTGTCCTGTCTAAGAGCCCAGCATCAATATCAGACTAATAAGAGAAGGATGAGAAGCCATGCGGATTCATTAAACTCCCTTACTGGATTGCGACTGGCATCAGCTAACCGTCAAGAAGCAGCATAACTGCACTAAGCTGGTTTGTACGAGAGGTGGTTTTATTTTGGCGGGGGGGG